TAGCTCCTTCAGACCCCAAATTACTGCCCCCCCCCACCCCCACCCCCACCCGCTTGTTTGCTCGAAATTGCTGTGATCGGACGACGGTCCATCGGCCCCATTCAGATTTTAGCGCATTTGTTGCGGAACCGTCACTGCTGACCCCTTTTGAAACGTTGCCCCCCCCCCCCCCCCGGTTCCGCCTCCCTGAAAAAAACAAACACTGTCGTGGAGTGTAAAGCGCCAACGCAAACATTTGACAACAAACGATGGTAGGCGCCATATTGAAATTATATTGGCCCAAAGCTGCAGGGCGGGGGTACGAGCGAAGCTATGCACATCGGTGTCATGAACAGCGCCCGCAGTGCATGTCCTGGTGTACATTTTAATAGTTGGGTTTTTTTTTTCAAATTAAGGATGAGAACTTTTAGTTCATATTATTTTTTACGAAAATAATGTTTGATAACAGGCTGACGAAGGACTGTTTGGAACAGCGAACGGAGTATGCATAAAGGCCTGATAAACAGTGTTGACAAACAAATCCGTTAAAAAAATCCTTTTCTTTTTAAAGACCTCCGCACGGTTTTAAAATAGTACATGTAGTAGGGGAGTTGAGAATCTGTGTTGGTCCAAATACAAAGAGTAGAAGTCAGGCGCGGAACCCCTGAGAGAGGTTTGACCAACCCCCCCCCCCCCACCCCCCCCCCCCCCCCACCACCACCACCACCACCACCAACCCCCCACCCATGTTCTGAAGCACACAAAAAATGTACATCTATCACAGTTATAATAATAATAAGGTCCACCTGTCCGCAACAATCGAATATAAACATATATCTTTAACGGGCCTGAACCCTCCCCCCCCCCCCCGCCACAATTCCTGGATCTGTCCCTGCACGCCTGATGTCTTTTTCAAAAAAGGCCTGCATGATAATAGTTTCCATTGTTGCGTAACGAGGGGTACGTTTAACACACGTAGGCCTACGACTAACGAGGCTGCCGTATACAATTTTCCAAAGACATGAAAACAGTGGGCTCATTATTGCCCGAAATGTCAACTTCTTTTCGTCCATGGAGCCCAAACAGAATGGACCCACCAATGTGCCACGTTTCTCCGCCTATTATTTTTGAGAAAAACTCTAAGAAAGCCGAATGGCCTAGTGGTTAGATTCGCCGTCCACGCATCGCGTGGGGCACGGGTTCGAATCCCGTTGGTGTCGTTTTGCTTTTAATCGCACTCGTTCAGTCATTATATTAAGATGTTTAATTTCCCGTCGTAAATTACCAACAGTACCTTAGCTTAACCGGTAAGCACTGCTGCTGGTACTGTCCGCGAGTTCCAGATTGGCGCCTTCGTACAGGTTCAGGGCATTTGGTCCACTCGGAGGATCAAGGTTTAGGGGCCGCCCTGTTCCTCCCTTAGCTCTTTGCTTTTACATGGTGCCTGGCCCTCCGGGGTTATATGGATGGACAGGGAAGGAAGTGTGTATTGGTCGGGGACGCCGAGACCCCGGAAGAGAACTAAGGGATCGGCTGGGGCATTGTTATGGCTCAGACCGATCCCTGAAAGCTTGACTAGCACATAACTTTTTGATTTTTTTTTATCCTCTTTCTTTTATACTTTGGTTTAGTTTGATATTTGCATCTGCTCGGCAGATGTACGGTAGTTTTGAAAACGAAGCAGAGGTCTATGTGATGAATCAATGAATCATGATTGACTATAATTAAAACGGAGTTTCGTTCGATCCTAAGGGACCCTCGAACAAATTCCAACTCGATTCAGGGACAGATATATCATTAAAACATTAAAAAGAAATTCATATTTTAGCCTAATTTTATGAAAAATGTAAGGCTAACCCCTTGCAATTTTTGTCTATTTTGGTCCAAAAATCAAAATGCTCCAATCTTTTTGGAAAGACTGTTAAGGAACCCTCGAACACATTCCGACTCGATTTAGGGAAAGATATACCATAACAAAAAATATTTCAGCCAATTTTTATGAACTGTAAGGCTAACCTTTTCAATTTTTGTCAAAAAACGAAGATGTTCTAAACGTCCTGGAAAAACTCCTAAGGTCAACTGGAACGCATTCCCACTCGATTAAGGGACAGATATATCATTAAAAAAAATTCATATTTTAGCCAAATTTTATGAAAAATATGCATAAACAGTCTGTGACGTATGACCTCGTGTTTTTGGACGTGCGTGCGGCGGGGCCGTACGTCCAAAAACACGAGGTCATACGTCACAGAGTTTATGCATATTCATGAGTTTGCGCGGGCGCGCCTGCATATTGCATACATTACAGCGCGGCCGCCATTTTTAAATCGCATGGGGGATCGCCTGGGGGACGATATTTTGTGGAATCTGATGACTGAAATACGTCTTGTGGCCAGATGGATAAAAATATTGAGACCAAACAACGTTTTTTCGAAAAGGTATGAGTTGCTCTACGACTACGAACCTTAACTTTGGAAATTTGTGTCCTGGATGAAAAGATAATCGCGATCGAAAGATGTAGCAAAATCGCTACATCGGCGGCCAACAAAATTCAGTCTCTGTGGAAGCATCGGGCGTCTGGCCGTACTACAGAGCTTGCGATAGTACTGTACGGCCAGACGCAGTCGGGCTAGGGTGACTGTTGCTAGGCTCAGGAAGTGTCCCAATCATTTTTGCCGAGATTGTTAACTGTTTCACGGCCCCACCTAAATATATAAAAGTCCAAAGGACAATGGGGTCAGGGAACTAGACTAGCCTGCACCCTTTAAAAAAAGCTACTGTAACAGCAGCTTTAATTATGTCTTATTATATAAGGCATGATAAGCTACCAATGCCATCCCTACTTTCTTTCAAGATTCTGTGAAGCTCATCAGCCTAGCCCTTCCCGGCCCAGAGAACGTACTGTTTACTTTGTTTTTAAGGAAAATAATGTTTGATTATATTACAGCCTGGTGAAGGACTGTTGGGAACAGCGAACGGACTCAGGCACTGAGAGGCCTGGTAAACAGTGTTACCAAACAAAACTGTAAAAACAAATTCGCGTTTCTTTTTTTTCAAAACGTCCGTTATTTCTTGAAATAGTAGTGATGGAGTTGAGAATCTGTATCTCTCCAAATACAAACAGTAAAAGTCAGACGCGGATCCACAGAGAGTTCGAATCCCAACCCCTCCCCCACCTAGCTGGAACCCCCCCCCCCCCCGCTCTGACACACACAAAATAGGCTAAATATTACAGACATGATAAGATAGGATATTCAAATCTAACGGGCCTGAACTCCCCATCCCGCCAAAATTCAAAATAGCCTATACTGTAGTAATAAGTGTTCATTGTTGCGTAACGAAAAGTAGCGCACGTATAGGCCTACTACTAACGAGGCTGCCGTATATTTTCCAAACAAATGAAAACATTTGACTCATTACTGCCTGAAACATCGACTTCAATTGACTTCAAAATCTTGTTCTTCAAAACTGTTCGTCCATGAAGCCAAAACAGATGCACACAGCAATGTTCCAGGTTTCTCCGCCTATAAGACAAATTGTTTTTGAGGAGAATTCTAAGGAAGCCTGGTGGCCGAGTGGTTAAGATTCGTCGTCCACGAATCGCGGAGTCCGGGATCGAATCCCGTCGGTGTCTTTTTGCTTTTCAACACATGCGTTCTATTCAGTGATTATTAAGATGTTTAATTTCCCGTCATAAAATACCAGCAGTACCTTAGCTAATAATCGGTAAGCACTACGGCTGGTACTGTCCGCGAGTTCCAGGTTGGCGCCTTCGTACAGGTTCAGGGCATTTGGTCCACTCGGAGGACCGAACCCTGAATGCTTGGTTAGCACATAACTTTTTGATTTTTTTTTTTAAACTTTGGTTTAATTAGTTTCATGATTACATCTGCTCGGCAGGCATGTGGTAGTGCATGTATTCAAAACAAAACAAAGGTCTATGCAATAAATCAATGAATTTTTGATAATTGACTAAATCAAAACAAAGTTTTGTTCCATAAGGCCAAAAAAAAGCCTCCGGTTTCTGGAATGCGCGCGCGTCGCCGTTGCCATGTGCGTCGGCAAAATGAAAAGGGTTTTTTTCAATCAAAGATGATGTCTCAAAACCGCCAAACTCACTGGTTTGACTGGAATCCTGCTGCTGCACAATTTTAATGTGTTTTTAGATTGGGTTATGGTCGAGAATAAGCTTTATGTGGCCTCTCTGGACTCCCATATATTTGCACTAAGTTTAGTCGGGCACCATTTGAAGTCATCAGCCGACATTTGAAGCAAAAAAATCAGGTAAAAAAAAAAAAAAAAGCCGCGTCGCCGCACCACTTTTTGGGCAAGCACCATACCAGAAACCAGAGACTTTTTTTGGCCTAAACGAGTCCCGTTTATTACGTTGTTTTGTTTGCTGCCCCCAACAACGACTTTTACACAAATTGCACGTTCGGGTCGAAACAGGACCTGAAAAACAGCTTTCAAATGTACCTTTTGTACTCATTTCATGACAGTCGTTTTATTTCATCACACCTTAGGCTACATATACCCGAAAAATGACGGAAATGTCTTCAAGCATTCCACAACCTCTTTAAACTCTGTTAATGCAAAATTCTGGTTATAACAAAAGAAGGCCTTGGTCCCGACTGTGCATTTATGTGCACAACGAATGGGACTGATGCTCCTCTTAATACAAAATTCTGATATAACAAACAAACGAGTTTGTATTATAACGAGACTCGACTGTACTGACAGAGAATCTGATATAACATACAAACGAGTTTGTATTATAACGAGACTCGACTGTACTGACAGAGAACAGACATACGTCCGTTAAGTAGCTGGCCAGCTCGCACAATGACCTGACTGCTGGCTGGTAAGCGCTACCGGTATCTCACGTAATCCCTGGAGTGACGTCATAATGGTGAGGTGGAATACATGTATATCTAGATGCAGCAATGAAAACTAGTTAAACTGCATATTTACACACTGCTATTGGAATCATTACCATCACAAAACATAACATTCAAACATTGTTAAATTTCAAACGTTTCTCTTTTTATTCAAAGTTACATGTAACACCATGAACTGAATTGTTTAAACTACTGCTTTCTTCAACCCTTTTCTTGTATGCCTACTTGGAGAAAACAATCTATACATGCAACATTCTCTGCAATTTCAAAATCTTAAGCTTTCTTTTGGGTACAAAAATTGTATTACAACCTGATATGTTTATTCTTACTTGAAAGCCATTGAAAACAAAGCAAGATAAATTACAAACTTTATGTCAATGCCAAAAATCCCAACATAAAAATGCGGAAGAAATTTCCACGAGTTTAGTTCTTTGGAATGTGTCAGTGCATGTGGACCACTGTCATACCTAGTTTTACAACTCATGTGTGACACTAATCTAGGTGGAAAACTCATGGTATACAAAACGATACAGATAGATGTGATAGAAAAAGGCACATGATGTTGTCATATACAATGCACATGTAGCATTTACATTTTTGATGCAATGTTAGCATCATTTATACATAAGAAAATTAAAATTCAAACAGTTTTCTTTTGTGCAAACTGAAAAGAAAGCAAATGTCCTGGCACATGATACAACTGTGCCAAATAGTATTAATACTTTTGGATACAAGAGTTAGCATCACGTATCCTCATCATAAACATATGGTTGAAATTCAAACTTCTCGTTTGTCCAAACTGAAAAAAAAACAATTACGAAAAACAAATATGCTGGCAAATCACTGTTTTGCTTACGTACCGGTGCACACATTTTTGTAAGCAAGTGAACTATTAACATACACATACCTGCTAAATAAGCATTAATGTTGAACTTCAAAACATTATTTCTTAACATTCTTCTGTTATGCAAAACTGTACATGTAACGTAATAATTAATTAACTTGCTTCCTACTTATAATTCTTTGTTTCAACATACTATTTTAGTTCAATTGATCTTCAGGCTGTTATTTTACCAAATGCCCACAAAATACACCCAAAAAAATATTCACCCCCCCCCCCAACTTAACAACTCCAGGCTGGCCTCATCACCTTTTTAGTCCCAAATACATGTATGTACATATTTCATTCTAAGTTTCTAGACAAAGATTCACAGCGATTTTCAGTTAGCAAAGCCACACATAGAGTACATCAGCCTATAAGACATTCCCACCTATTAAAATGCTGCCCTGACCCCCTCCCAACAAATACACACAAAAAACCCGATGGATAATGACCAACTGGAAAATGTTACCAAATACATGTATTAGGTTATTTATTAAGATAATACTTGGTCTGGATGGATTCTTTTTAAAAATCTTATTTCCAAAAGGAAGCCTGAACATAACATCGGTTTATCTTGTCATATACCAAGTTGTATTAAAAAGTTGGCAAACACTCGGTATCAATTTTTCTCTAAAGATGAGTTAAACAAAGGTTGGTGAGCTGAGGAGTATACATGTAGATTGGTTCAACAATTCTGGTATAAGTTTGCCCAAATGGTTTCAATTTTCATGAATAACATATTTGTTGTTTTGTAATTTTTTTGGGGGTACATACTGGATCTGTATACATTTGTAGGACTTATATTATAGGTAATGTAGGGGAGCTGATAAAACTGTATCAAAACTAGTTCCAGTGTGTGTTTATGCAGTCGGGTTGTCTTGAGTAAATTGAGAGAAGTAGAGTTCAGATGTTACGATGATGATATGGTGTATTATCATAGTTTCAGGAATGCATCAAGTCGCAGGTATGTGATGAACAATAAAGGCGACATATAATGCCAAGTTCAGACAGTATCAGAGCACAAGATCCTGCTTTTGCCGCCGACCCATTAGCATCATGAGGGAAAAATCATTCCAAAGTGGGAAAGCATGGCACAATCAGTTTGAACAAAGACAAAGGAGACACCAGAGTGAACCAGTGGACAGAGTACTGTCGCAAATGTTGACTAAGGTGTGCCACGACAGGAAATGACTTGGATAGCGAACCTAGTAGAGACTCTGCCAAGATGTCAAGCTGGAGACTTGGAAATACTGGCTCGTATCTAGCTCAGAACAATGCAGCATGAAAAAACGTGGTTTAAATTTCACGTAAAACCACATTTTTACTGATCGTTCTGGCCAAGACAAGAAACCACAGTTCGAGAAAAGATTCTAGAAAGAAAGTTTAACAACCTAAAAGCTGAAAAGACTTGTTTACTGTCAAAGCTGGAAAGAAAGTCTGGAATGGAACAACAGAATTTGGCTTGGAAAAAATGTCTGGCTTGAAGAAGAACAAAAAAAACCAGCTTGGATGGGATAGTTTTAAACAGGTTGGAGATGATGTAGTAACGCTGTGCCAACTTGACTCCCTTTGTAAGGCCGATATATGGATTTTGTTGCAGATCATACAACATTGTACAACTGTCCCAGGTTTTGGCTACATTCGTGTCGGACTACATTAACAGTGGCATTTTGCTTGTCATCTACATCCAGACTATTGACCTCTTGTTGCTTTGCAACATCACCCATTGGAGTCCTGATGAGATATCTTGATTTCTGCTATGTAAGTGCCAGGACTTAACAAGAATGCACATCAGCACAATGAATGTACTTGAAGTGTTTTCAGAATACATGCGACACAGTATAGACCACAAATCCATCAATGCAAAGCACATAATAAGGGTCCACGGGTGAAACACTAAAAAATCTTCTCACTGATGCATTCTGTGCATTGTAGGAATGATTAGATTTTGAAGACCAAAAAGTAACAGGACTGATAACCATTGTTTGTCAGGATTGTTTTCACACAAATGATATGCTCCCTAACAAATTTCATGGAATGAGATACAAAGACATGTACTTAGTCTACTTTCAGTCAAAATAAAGTATCTGCATCTAAAACTGCCAAACAATTCACGTAAAATAATTGAATGAGACCACACACACACGTCTCTTTATATTAAGACCCGTTTTCTATGTTCCAGTTCGGTTTCCTCTAACAATGGTGACTGAATTGAATTTACGCTTGCACGCTCAAAATTTCGCAACACCCCTCCACCTGTCCATACACTGACTGAGTCGGACAAGATTTTGTCCCATTAATTCAGGGCAGTTCACCTCAACAGTGTGCTTAAAAAATGGGAAGGACTTGTTATGTCTACCTGGCACATAATCAAAGAGACCTTCATGCATGTATGCAGAAGCGAAACTGTCGACATCTTGATCAAATTTGAGTTGCTGCAGCTCCTGAGCAGTTTGAGTTGTTCGAGATTTCAAGAAGATGCTTTCCAACTCATGTAAAAATTCATCCCTCGGTTTGCTTTTCTGTTCCCTCTCTTTCTCTGGATACCCATCTTCTGTTCTGGACACCATTTTCCAATACTCATCAGTTGGGATTTCGTTAACCAGATCCAGACCAATATTGCCATCTGCCTGACCGGTTAAATTTGCCACTCTGTTCCAGGTCATGTCATGTGCAACTCGGGCTGGATAGAACCCACTGACACCTGCCAGCATGTTATGAGCCAAGATGAAATATTTGAGATGTTTGTTGTTCCAAAACTGCAGGGTGTTGATCCTCCAGTGGCTGAGGATGGCTGGTCCATCACCCTCACGTACTGCATCACGGAAGGCTAGATGACAAAGACCCTCATATAACAAGGCTCTGGAATATTCATGGACCCTATCACCTTTGGGTTTGAAAGATGCGAGTCGTTTACATGCAGGAGAACAATACCACTCATCGGGTAAATCTTCAGCCCCTCTTATGCACTCCACATGATACCACTCATTTGCAGTACAACGACTTTGCATCTCACACTGGACCATACTGTCTTCCTTCCCTGTCCTTCTATGGCATGTACAATATATGAAGGACTTGGAAGCCTGGCACTCTGCTGAACACCACCAATCACCTTCCACGGGACCATCAACATTGGCACAAGAGTAGTGAAACCATGCACCACATTTCCTGTTTAAACATCGAATCATTCCTTCATCACTGGACTCACCACATTTGCAGCTTTTAGTGTCTTTGACCATATCAGCAAGAATATCACCGAAAGTGTCATCTTTCTTGTCAACACAAAACTGTGTCTTCTTTTGCCTATGTACTTTGTCTAGGCTGTCGTCAGTAGGAAATCTTGGCCATATGAAATCTACCATCTTTTGTGTGAATTTTGTTAGCCACATCTTTTTCTGAACTCTTCCTAAGGTCGGAAAATCTGCAGGAGTATCGGTGGTTCCATCTAACTTTGCAAGCTTGAATGCAAGCACAGTGCTGAGTGCATGTGTACAGAAATTCAGAAGATTTTCGACATCACTGAAGTTTTCAAAGACCTTCTGCTTTACAGAACAATGATTAAAGTCTTCATTTATCTGGAAAAGTGTTCCCGTCTCTTTAGCACTGTCCTCTTTGAAGAACCTATCCATCGTGTCTTGGAGTAAAACTCCTCTTCGATGAAAGTCTTGCGGACACTGCACTAGTCCCTCCAACCTATCCACTGCAGAAGCCCCACTAGCTTTTGCACGTTTGGCATCAACCATTTTCTCCACAGAGAGCCCATCCCCAAAGCATACAATTGGGTACAAGTTCTCATCACCATACGATGGAACAAACTGATGAAGTGACTCAAGCATACGGACTGAGCCTGATGTGCTGTAGGGGTTTTCATCTATCACGCCTAAGCTGGCAATCTCACTTTTCTTACTCAAGGCATCACTGTGTTGGTGCCGCTTAGGGGCAGAACATTCCACCTGTTTCAAAAATGGCAAATGATCTTTCAAAATGTGCTCCAGAATTTGGCACATTCTCTTCTTCAAACCTCTCCAGTCAGAGGGCTTTGGAAGAAAACATGACAACGGAATTTCTCCTGCACGTTTCACCGTGTAATCCGACGATTGGTCAAATCCAACTCTATTCCTTACAGCAAAGGTTGAGGTCTGTAACTTGTACTCATTGAGTGACCTACGTGTAGCTAGCTGCATCAACACACTGTCGCACACTATGATATACCCTGGGTCAAGGTATTCAAATCTTCGTGAATCATGCATTGCGGGAAGCATTTGCTTTACTTCAGGTGCCTGATCTTTTCTTTCCTGTGATGTGTCCTTACTGCTTGAATCATGTTTGCTCGATGTACTTGGCGAATTATCTGCATTTACTGCAGCTGAAGCAGATTCTGCAACAGAATCACTATCAGAGTTGTTGTCAGCAGATACACTCATATCAGAAGCAGCGTCATCATCAATGTCAGCTACGAGTGAGTGTGTTTCATTCAAAACAGCTGCTTGCTTTTCACCACACGGTGATGTTCCTTGGGTCTCATTATCTGCCACAACTGTGGCACTTGACTCAAGCTGTTGACTCAGATTGAGCTGCCACTGTTTTTGCCTTTTAGTGTAGTCTGTCCCTGCCGTATCTATTGCCAAGGATGTTGTTACTTTACTTAAATGTACGCATACACCAAGGGCATGCAAACATTTAAAAACAGTACTTGTACACCCTTGTCTCTTCAGTTTCACAGACACACAGCTCTGAATGAAACTGAATTTACGCGCCCGATGCGAATACAAAATCAACGACAAAATAAAGCCTAGGCGCTGGTCAGGCATGCAGACAGCTGGTCGTGTTGAGATCATCTTCTGGTGACGATGAAGAGCCCCTTTCAGAACATTTACAAGAATTGGCATGTGAGAAGCAGCCTCCTCAACAACTTTGCCCCATTTGAAGGTTGCAATATTTCCAGGGGTAACAGGTTTTGATTCGAGTGTTTTAAGTGCACACCTGCGGATTTCTTGTCGGACAGCTGTGCTGGCAACCGTACAGAATGCTTGCCTCGAACGTTTGCTATGATTAAGAATGGCCTTGATAGCTTGAGCGTATTGATTTGCCTTGATTGCCTTTGAGAGATACTGTATCAATTTACATCTACTTAAGAATCCCTTGGATTGGGTATTCACTTTAGAATGTGGTACACTATACTTAGGCTTTTTACGTCCTTTTTGTGTTGAGTAAAAAGAGAAGCTAGGTCTCTTTTTCGCTTGACCAGTTTGTGTTTGACTGGCAGTTTGTTGCAGATGCTTTGATTTACATGAAGAACAAAGGAATCCATCCTGCCCTTCAAACTGTTCAAGGGAAGGGCCCGAGAGCCTCAAGCTGTACCTCCTCCAACTGTTATCCGTGTTTTCAACTGGGGACTTGCACATCAAACACTCAGGAGTGTTTGTATTTCCTGAGGAGGCCATTGTGGAGCTAATGATGAAACTGTTAGATACAAATAGGTGAAGCAAAGAGTGGATTATTTCACACTAGTACATGTAGTATAAGTTGTTTTTAAAATAAAAATACACCACAAATCACTTGTTTCAAGTACCATGAACAAAGGGAAAGGATTGGTTGGTGGTAGATGTCTGACAGTTTACCCTTCAGACCCTCAAGTGGGGACTTCTCTCTGACTCACTTTGCAACTGAAGGGTCTGGAGTACCAGTTTGTCCAAATACTGAGGTAATATGCTAGCTGTAACTGACAGCTACCGGTACATCATCTGAGACTGATGGAGAGGTGCGACCAGTCACAGCTCAACTTGTAGATTCTCCTGCACATCAGTGGAAAGAACAACTGTGAAGAGAAGACACCATAAATTGACATACATGTATTTCTATATTGTTCCCTGTACATGGGCTGCATCCAGGAACCCCACTTATTTGTATTTAAGACATGTATGCAAAATATTAAAGTAACAATATCATGACTGCTGCTCCACACTTGACTGTTTTCTTCCTGGCATCCTTTCAAACCAACTTATTAGTGTCACTTTATTCCATTACAAAAAACACCTCACCTCTGATTACCTACATGTATATTTGCACATCAGCGCGCATGCGCACAACCTTCTCTGAAAAGAATAGTGCCCAACCCACAGCCTCAGTACCCACTGCATGCCTCATGCCCACAAAGGACCCTGTAACGTCATAGCTCCTTGCAGTTTTTAGCAACAGGTAGTGTTAAGGGTACAATTTTAGCCGTTCTCGCTGTGCTTATAAAATGGCGGACTCCGCCAAGACCAAAACAAAAACTGTTCCTAGCTCAAGCCGTTCTACCGGAAAATCACCCTCATGTCAATCCAAACGTGATAATTCCTCCGCTACGACCGGGTCCAATCTCCCGGGTTCGGAGGTTGGAAATTCTCCGGGGACGAGCACTTCTCCAACGAGAGTTACATGTACGGCCACTTCCCGACTAATCCTGCATACATTCGGCAGTCTACAGGAGCACATGCACGCTTCGGAACAACAGGTCGACTCGCATGTGCAGGCGGGGCTTGGCGTTAAACATCCACAGGTCCCTTAACAATAATACTAATAATTAAAAATGTATTATGCGCCTTTTGCATATAAATGATCAAAAGCCCATTACAGAATCAACAATAAATGCAACTTCTTAAATAGAAAGATAGAAGGATTAGGGTAATATATATAAAGTCATGTCACCGCGCCAGTGCCCAAACCGCAGTATGGGGATACATGTAGGCCTACAACACTGGCCAGGCTTACAAAGCGTCCATGGACAAACAGCAAGCTGACAGAGCATACCAAGGCCCAGATCTACATGGCGTGCATTGTGAGTACGCTCCTTTATGGATGCGAGTCATGGACCCTGCGCTCTCGTCAGGAAAGACGGCTCAGGGCCTTCCACATCCGCTGCCTGAGGCGCATCTTAGGCATCTCATGGAGAGACCATATCACCAACAGGGCAGTGCTTGAGAGAGCAGGAGTCTCCTCCATGCTCACTCTCCTGAAACAGAGACGCCTGCGCTGGCTGGGAAACGTCGTACGAATGGAGGACGGTCGCATCCCAAAAGACCTTCTCTACGGAGAGCTGGCATCGGGCAAGAGGCATGCTGGACGACCCCTGTAGCGCTTTAAGGACACCTGCAAACGGGCCCTCAAGGCACTCGCCATCAATACCAAGACCTCGGAGACAGTAGCTGCAGATAGATGCTCATGGAGGCACAAAGTGAACAAGGGGATCCAGCAGCTCGAGAGTGAGGAGATACGGCAGGCGGAGGAGAAAAGACAACATAGAAAGGCACAGCGACCAGCAGACAGACCCACCTCAGTGTTCCTCTGCGCTCACTGTGGCTGGGACTGTCATTCCCACATTGGACTATACAGCAACAGCAGACGCTGTTCACCAACCAGACATTCAGGGCAGAACCCCATAATCCCCTGGGATTGACGGATGCCTACATAGAGACATGTATGTCTGTATCGCCAACAGGAAGAATAAATTACTTAAGCCTAACCCTGCTGACATCGGTGAGGTCTCGATCTTTCCCGGAGACAGACGTCTCTAACCCTACCTACGAATTAATTAAGCATCTACATGTAGCTACCCCGCACGGTGATGCTAGAAAAGCATTAAACCCATTAAAAATACATTATTTAAAAATGCTACATTATTAAAAGAAAGGTTTTAACTTTACATTTAAAAAAGGCAAGTCTATGTTCACTACATATGTGCCACGGTAAAGCATTCCATAGCTTAGGGGCTGCCATTGCAAAGGCCCTGTCACTGAGTACTGGTAAAGTTTTGCCACTAGGATAATCCAAAAAGGGTCTGTTGTTTGCTGAACGAAGATGGTATCTGGATACTTTCCTAGCAGTAAAGTATCTTGGAGAAAGGCCGTGAATGGCTTTGAATGTTAATAAAATGATTTTGAAATTGATCCTGTATAAAACAGGTAACTACCGGTAGTGCAGTTGACGTAATATTGGTGTTATGTGTTCGAACCTGTATGTATTGATAATTAGTCTAGCTGCAGCATTCTGGACCCTTTGTAATCTCTGTGTCATTGGCAGACCATACAATAGACTGTTACAATACATGTAGTCCAAACGGCTGGTCACAAATGCGTGGATTAACACTGAGAGAGAACAGTGAGACAGGAATTTACTAATGCTTTTAATATTGTGAAGGTGAAAGAAATCCGACCAGCCCCGCCAGGTAACAGAGACTAGGGACACCACCAGCACCGCCTTCATTCCGCTATACTCCTACTACAAGTTTGTATTCACAAACTAGTTTTTTCCGAGTGAATCTCGGCGAGATTTTCCCCATCATTCGGAGCCTCACACGTGGTCCTTTTTCCAGAACAATTCTCATCAATTCGACCATAATACACACACACTGTGTCCACATAGTGTTCCAGCCTACGAGCAGCGGGTTTTTCCACAGGCTTTTCCGATGGGATTTTCACACCATCACGTACCTTATCAGGGTAATTCTCCGCAACACTTTGGTGAAAACACCAACCACTCCACGGCGGGATGGGGAGGGGACAATCCCGCGTTCAAGGGGGCCGTTCTCGGTCCCATGCGCAGTCTCGCTCAGACTCCAAAGATCAACATCATTTTTCTCGTCATGATCGTGATTACCCACGGTCGGAATCTGGCCATCGCAGCCAGCATGGGGCCAGGAAACCTCTTTCTCCATCCGGTTATCGGATGCCCTTGCCCGATGTTATGGAGACCCTTCCTTTTGTGAGCCAATTAAATAACATACCCAAAAGGTTCCATTTTTTGGATGATTGTCTGGGTTTTTGCCACAAGGAATTTGCTTTGGGACTCACTTCAACTTCATTGCTGCGACGCTCCCTTGTCCTAGACAAGTTGTTTCTCCCTTTAGTTGGTTCTAAGGATCGCATGCAAGATCTTCCCCCAGCTGGGATTGATCTTTTTGACAACAGATTCGACGAGACTATGCTATACAAAGCCAAATGTCTACAAGCTGGAGACAAGTTGGATCTTCGTTAGCGTTCAGCCAAACGCCAGTCTACCTTTGTTCCCAGTCAACACAGCAAGAACAAACAGGTCCGTTTTCTACCAACCAGGGCTCAAATTAGTCCAAGATATTTGCGGCCCTTCAAGTCCCAGGGGTCGCGAGGTAACAAGGGTCTTTGACTACAACACATTATTCATCCCTCCTGCTTTCGGACCAGTATGTTCTTGCAGAGTTCAGTCAGAGATGGTCTCATGTAACTTCAGATATCTGAGTTCTTCAAACTATCTCTACAGGGTACCGTCTGGAATTCACCAGCAACCCTCCTCTGCAACCTCCGCGACTATCAACTCTTGTTACCTCAGATCCTACACGGCAGGCTGCTTTGGAGAAGGAAATCATCTCCCTGAGGGACAAGAATGCCATCTGCTTCCAGCATGGTCCACTCTTTGCGTCACCTCTACTTTTTTCATTGCACCGAAGAAGTCAGGCGATTTGCGACCCATCATCAACTTACGACCTCTCCACAGTTCTAGACATGACAACTGGCAGAGTGATGCCATCTGGGGAAAGATGTCAGACACTTTGGGATTGCATCAGGATTTTCAGGTCCTCTTCAATTCTCCCAGCCAAAGCTTGGCTCCGCCTACTGGGCCTCATGGCAAGTCTGGTCAATTTGGTTCCTTGGTGCAGGATGCACATGCGTCCCTTACAGCTCCAACTTCTGTACCACTTTCGCCCTTGCAAAGATCCTCTATCAAAGATGGTTCTAGTAACTCAGTTACTTATCGACAAGCTCCTGTGTTGGCTAGCTCCGAACAATCTCCAATGTGGAGTGGTGTTCCCTCGCCCCTCTCCAGCAGCTATCCTCACAACGGAAGCTTCAACACTTGGCTGGGGAGCATACCTAGACGATCTATCACGGGCCGATACTTGGTCGATGGAAGAGAGTCTACTTCACATCAGTCACTTAGAGCCCCTTGCAGTGTACATGTACAAGGCTTTACTTTCCCTTGACTCCAAAGATCTCAACAAATTAGATCTGGTCAAGTTAGACAACGCTATGGTAGTGTCATACAGCAACTGTCAGGGGAAAGTCACCCTCCGTCTCTCTGCCTGGCCACTTGGGAGCTACTCAGCTGGTGCATTCCTCGCCAAATCTCTCTTCAAGCCACCCATCTGGCCGGAAAGAAGAACATCCTCGCTGATGCCCTTTCCAGGGGTCGTGTCTCTCCAACAGAATGGTCTCTCCACCCTCCTTTAGTCAGACAAATTGTTCAACTTACTTGGAACACCACATGTGGACCTGTTTGCATCCCACTTGAACAACCAGCTTCCAACCTTTTTGCACCCGTCTCACTCATCCTATGGCGTGGATGGTAGATGCCCTCAGCTTTGACTGGGCAGGAATGCATGCTTATGCCTTCCCTCCGATTTCTCTCGTACAACGGGTCCTGACAAACATAGAGACACAGCTACCCAGAGTAGTCCTCATAACTCCATTTTGGCCAAGACAGCCATGGTTCCCTTGCCTTCTGGATCTCCTTGTTCACTTGCCACTCATACTTATTCCCAACCAGCCAGACCTTCCGTCACGGCCCAGGTCTAACATTCTACATCAGGATCCATCCACTCTCCATCTTTGTGCCTGGATGCTCTCAAAGTCCTCAAAGTCTCCTTCCGATCAGCTTGCCTTTTGTAGAGCTACACCCTTGGCAGTCAAGAGCAGACGGAGATCTACCAGAAGAACTTATGATAGTAGACTTCTCCACTTCACCAAATGGTGCGAGGAGCGAGCTGTCAATCCCCATTCTGCATCTGTAACCTTGATTGGGGATTTCTTTCTTCACCTTTTCAATTCAGGCCTTCAAATTTCAACAATTAAGGGCTACAGATCAGCTATAAGTGTCCTTCATCAGGGTTTCCGTGATGGCACAACAACTTTTAGCAAATACATCTATTTTTTCACCTGATTGGTGGTATGTTTAATGATTGGCCTCCTACCAGGAAGCTGATACCATCATGGGACTTAGGTACCATCCAATATCTCTCTCCAAACCTTCGTTTGAACCACCAAGTAGTTCTTCCTTTCATCATCTTACAGTTACATCTGTATTTTACTAGCTGCAGCTTCAGCTCACCGCAGAAGCGAACTCCATGCTCTGTCAGTGGAACCAGGCCATATCCATTGGGAACCTGGGGGCATACGACTAATTCCACATGTAGATTTTCTCACTAAGAACCAATCAGTGGGTTTTTCACCCCCGACATATTTGTACCAAGTTTATCGTCAGTACCAGACGATAAATGGTGGATAAATTTTGGTGCCCTGTGTGAACGCTCAACTACTACATTGCTCGCACCAAGCCCTTGAGAGGAGACATCAGTCAACTGTTTATTACGACCAATCAGCCTCCTCACCAAGCCTCTGTGACCACGATCGCTCGATGGATCTCGGTGGCCATACAGTGCCCTCCCGAACATCGAAGATCGAAACCAGCAGCCCATGAGACACGCAGCATGTCGACTTCATGGGCTCATCTGCTTGGAGTTTTTCTTTCAGAGATTATGAAAGCTGCCTGCTGGAAAATCCTTCTAACTTTCACATCATGCTACCTGAAGGAGGTAATGCAATTGGAGGGACGCATGAGCAGTGTCCTCCAAGAAATAGCATGAACAGCAGCCCGCTTAGCCCACAAAGCTCCTTTGAAATAGATAGGCAGCTCCTGGGTATGTCTAGACAACCTTTTCATGTTATCTAGAATTGCATGAAGGCCTAGTTTAGACTTTCAATTACCACCCCCCCCCCCCCCCCCCCGAGACTTTCGGTGCTACTCTGCAAACGTGGGTAAACAGAGGTGAGGTGTTTTCGGTAATGGAATTCCTTAAACCCAAAGGGATTTTCCATTCTCGTAAGAAACCACTCACATCTGTTAACCTTCCCTCCCTTTAAAAAAATATTACGTTGCAGGGTCCTTTGTGGGCATGGCGCCTGCAGTGAGCACTGAAGGTGTGGCTTGGGCGCTATTCTTTCCAACGAAGATTGTGCGCATGCGCGCTGATATGCAAATGTAGGTAAACAGAGGTGTTTTCTTACTAGAATGGAAAATCCCTTTGGATTTTAGGAAATTTACTTGGCGAGTTTACCTTCTGTTTTCTCATTGTCTAACTGACTTATGGCCTTTCGCACAAGAGCATCCATCCCCAGGGCACACTCAGGGGCTGAACATTTCAAGTGTGCGTTGTGGCTTATTTTCACCCATGTTGCCCTAAATTTTGTCTAGTATAAAGGTCTAAATCAAATTTAGTTTTGCCCTTCACCAACGCATAAACACTGTATACTCAGTGTGTTAACTCTCAAGTGAAAGTTGGAAAAAATCACTCGGGTGGGACTCTAACCCACGACATCCTGCTTTGTAGTGCAGATGTCTGACCACTCGACCACCGAACCAGCCAACTTATCCCGTTAGCTCGGTGGTCGAGTGGTAAGACATCTGCACTAGAAAGCAGGAGGTTGTGGGTTAGAGAGTCCCATCCGAGTGATTTTTCCAACTTTCACTTGAGAATTAACACACCAAGTACCCAGTTTTTATAGGTCGGTGAAGGGCAAAACCAAATTTGATTTACATCACCCTGACACAAAAAAACAAATCCCATCTGATGAGTATAAGGGTCTACATACTGAATCAACAACAAACCACTGACAGCATTAAAATAACCACAAAAAGACCCTCAAATTCTGGTGACTTTTTATACTGAAGCTGATGTGAAACTGACGCTTCTGGCGTTAATTGACATCACGGTTTTGCTGATGAATATTGAAATATTCACATTAGCGTAAAAACTGAAAGGGCACCAACTAGCACTTGAAAAGGCAGCATAGGGATTAAAAACAAACTGAAATGGAACACAAAGGTAAATTCAAGGAATGCATTTAAAAAATGCCATTGCATTCCCAATGGCCCCTTTAACATTTTATACCACTTTACCTGAAATTGAACCACAGGTTTTGCAGTATTTTTACATTTTGCTCTGAATATTAACTTCCCACTGAGAAGGCTAAAGTCAATCATTATACTTACGTTGTAAATTAACTCATCAAAAGCAGAACAGCATCACAAAGGACCATCAGCTACCCGGTAGAAGCATCAGATGACCAATACTTCTGAAAAGAACAAAAATTAAACGTACACTTCAAGCATTTTATTTGCTATAAAACCGGCTTATTTTTCCATACACTTTCTACATACTGCAACATAAATCAGTGTTTTCTGGACACAGGGATGCGAAAAAGAAATTCAATGTACGAGGAAATCATTCTTTTCCAGGAACAGTTGCACACATGCAATGCATGGCAAAGCAAAGTACATGTGTTAACCCTTACACTTTGAAATATCACAGGTGTAGCCAGCGGGGGGGGGAGGCGTGGGGTGGGGTGGGATAGAGGGCTGGGGGATGGGGGGTTGCGGGGTTGCGGGGTTGCGGGGGGATGGGGGGTTGCGGGGGGATGGGGAGGGGGTAAGGGGTTGTATTAACCCCCCAATGTTTTGTAAAGACTGTCCTTTTCCATTCAAGTGCACTTTTCTCACCAGCATTTATTCCCCCCCCCCCCCTCCAAATTTGTCAAGAGTTCCCGGTTTTTATTAAAACAATTAAGTGCCCTTTTCTTAACAAGTGCCTTTTTTTGTCAAGTGCTCTTCTTTTAAGTACTAGCAGTCTTTTACGAGTGCCCTTTTTGGAATTTCGCATGACATCTATTTTCAGATAGTGTGCACTCATCCAGTTTGAACAGATCCCCCAATAAAAGATGGTACCAGCCCACCCCCCCCCAAAAAAAAAACTTTTTGATTTTATGGAGGCCAAGTGACTCCAAAGAAAAAAACCTTTGTACATTTCAGCAAAGATGTGTGAGTGCCCGTCTCACAAAATTTGTACCCCCACCCTAATAAAAATTAAATTTCTTCGCCTCTGTATATTGGTGCAGCCTCTGTACATGGTGACCAAAAAAATAATGCAACCCTAAAACAATTGCCTTTAAAAAAAGGATCAGGGATTTTTATGTTTTAAAGCTGAGAGCTTTTTCTTTCAAATACCGAAAAAAATCATAAGTCGGTCTCTGGTCAGCGCGCGCGTCGATTTTAATCATGCGCGTCGATCTTTTTTTTTTCCAAAATGTTCCGCGGTAACTCCAACAGCGCCCTCTATTTCCGCACCTCCTCAATTTTTTTTACCAAAGAGCACCAAGGAATGGGAAATTGCACCAAGGCAAATGATCGAAAGCACCAAGGCAAATTATGGAGGACTCCAATGAACATGAGGACACCAAAAAAGGCAAAATACATGTAGTACCCCACCTTGTCTGTACAATCCAAGCTTGACTGCTTGAAGAAGAAAAAAAAACAAGCCAAAAAAAAAAAGCCGCGTGGCCGTGTCAATTTCGGAACTTTGGTCTGACCAGAGACCGAATTTTTTTTTTTTGGCCTAATACGCCTCTGTACATTGTATATTGCTTGCATTTATATTGAAAGTATACAATGTCGTTGGTCCTTTTCAAAGCAGCCAAGGTTATGACCTTTATGCAAATAAAATATGAATAATTACCTCTTGTCTTTGCCGACAACTGAATTACATGCACATGTATCACTCGTGGATCTGCACACTGGAGATTAATTTCTCAGATGTCAGTCTGGAAAAAAAATGAGCAAGAAATCAACAGGATGCTTGAGTTTATATATTGAGTTTATTTACAAATGTACGAAGTGTGTTTCACTGCCTAGAATGGGTGGCATGGGTGGCATGTGCGTAAAGCGCTCGCCTCTCACCAAGGTGACCGGGGTTCGAATCCTGGCAGCGGATCACATGTGAGTAGAGTTGTGCGTTGGTTCTCTCCTGTGCCACGAGGGTTTTTCTCCGGACCCTCCTGGTTTTCTTCCCTCTGGAAAAATCAAACACTTCGATCTCAGGCCGTGCTCCTTGGTCATATATGGGTCGATGTGGCCGGCAGCCATAGGCGCCTTTACGTGCCAGTGGACCGACCACATTGTAGCCGCGTCCTTCGCAATTCAGCATTCCAGCTGCGAGTAAGGATGATTAGCCTCCCAAATTATTATTATTATTATTATTAATGACATCACAGCAACAGCACTCTCAGTTGTGCGGAAAGTTATTTGTTTTTCAAAAAAAGGGTGATTTAGGCCCTACGTACAAATCTTTTAAACAGAAAGTGATACATGTAGTTCTCATAAATTTCAGGGAATGGAAATTTGGTAAGGCCAAAAAAATAATAGTTCTGCTTCCGGTTACCCGACCGACCCTATTTTTATGCTACAACCCTGAAAATTTTATTGGCAATTCCAAAAAAAAAAAAAAAAGATTGATTAAATAAAAATAAAAACCTGTTGTCTTTTCTGTCTTGACAAAATACCTCTCAACAACCCTTTTGCGTCAAAAAATGCTTTTATTTATTTGTTTTTTTACTTACATTCGCTATTTTTTCAAAAGAAACCTCCGTTATTTTTACAAATTCGCTTCGCGATATAACTACTTCGCAATGTTGTGCATATGATGCGAACGACCTGAATTTTCCATTAATTTTTTTAAGAATTATCGAACGTAAATACATTGACAATAATTAAGGTAGGTTTTATTCACTTTTTGTGGCCATTTTGTGTAAAGCTTTTGTAGTGCAATGGAAATAGTTCAGGCTAAAACTTCGCAAATAATTGAATACCCCATTCAATCTGCATAAAAAAAATTGGCAAAAAAACAAACATTTCAGACCAACCGACCCTATTTTTGAACATGTTGAAAGGCATGTAATCAGAAGCAGAACTATTTTTTTTTCGGCCTTAATAGATATCATCAGTGGCGTGAATCTGTGCCAGCAAGTGGGGGGGGGGGGATGACCACAATCTAAAATTGCCCAGCCGTGGTTTTTCAAAAGGGGGGGGGGGGGGCACTGGACACCACACTATACAAGGGGCGCTCTTCAGGATATGTTTACATCAATGTATACTGGCGCTTATATTTTTAAAATACATTTCAAAGCACCTACTGGCTTCATGAGGAGTGTCCGGATCGTAAGTGCGATACCAAATTTCGTTCATCACGCCCCCGGTCAAGTGACTACTTTTTCGCAATCAGCTGAACGAAATTGTTTCTCACACCATGCCAGCCTACATGTTTGTATGAACATCTATAGACAATGCACGGTTAGACATGTTAGACCATGGAGGAATTATTTATTCCTCCGTTAGACTCTAGCTGGTGGCATTTTGCTGTCTGATGTCTGTGCTAAACTGGTCGAATTTCACGGATTTTCAACCCCAACAATAATCGTTGAGTATCACCATGGAGGAATAAGAAACATTCATAATCATAACCTTACCCAGACGCGCCCGCATAATGCATACATTACAATGCGGCCGCCATTTTGAAATCGCATGGGGAAAAAATTTCGGGACGATTTTCGTGGGCGATGATGACTGAATGTCATCTTTTTTGGCCAGATGGAGGAAGATTTCGGGATAAAAGAACGTTGTTTTCGAAAAGGTATGAGTTCCATTACAAGTAGGAACCTTAACTTTGGAAATTTCTGTCCTGGATGAAAAGATAATCTCGATCAAAATCGGTAGCAAAATCGCTACATCAGAGTTCAGCGTGTAGGGGAGCATTGGCGGTCTGGCCGTACTACACTGTCTACAGTACAGAGCTTGCGATAGTACCGTACGGCCAGACGCAGTCGGACTAAGTTGAGCTATACTGCACCTGCACAACTTGAGTTGAGTCACCTTGACTTCTCCTTGGACAAGCAACACTGCTTTTTAGGAGTCTACACATCAAGCACCAAGGTATCTACTGTCTGCTGGTCTAGTTAGTGAAAGCAAAACTTCGTAAGTTTTTCGGCCGGCGCGGCGTGCCCGCGTAAAAACTGGCACTAAAGTGGCAGCAAAAATCATACACGAAAATTCATAGGCAAGGACGCCGCGCATTTCTTGACTTCAAATAATCAAACAACAGGTGGCGCTCTTCACAATTAACGATGTGTTAAGGTGTTAAAGCTGTAGTCCATAATTTGCAGCCATCCGAAAAGTAACTGGCGTAATTATTGTTGAAAAACAAACTTGGTTGAAAGATAGTAAGGGAACTAAACTCCCTGTGAAATTATTCTTTCTGGGAAGGTGTCATTTTGAAGTAATCAACGAAAGAAGGCATTTCCAACGGTGATTCTTAAGAAGCACCGTAGGAAAATTTAAATTAGTAGTTCGTTTTGTTATTTCAGCCTTCAAGTTGGAACGACGCACACGCGCGCGCGGTTGTTATAATTCGTCGGATCAGTGCGCTACGTCGCGTATAGTTGCAATTCATGTATCAAAACAATTCAAAACATGATTCAGTAACTTTTGATTTGAAATTGAGATCTTAGAATGCTGTTTTTCTCGGAATGTACAGCTGAAGCTTAGCTGATCGAAACTTCATCAGGTTAGTTGCTCAGTATCCTTCATTAGATTTTGAACTCTTTTGTTGCTTCAAACGAACAAAATGCACAAATTACAAATGATGGACTGAGCTTTAAGCATAATGACATCAACCTTTGCTTCGGCTTCGGCTTCGGCTTCGCCTCCTACCTCTGAATCACTGAGAGGCAAACTAAACGAAAATATTCCAACTTGTGTCTTCATATTAACCGATTGAATGTTCCTGAAGCATAACATGCACCAAAATGTAGCTGGAGTCCCCTAAGTCGGGGCCTAAAATGTCATTAAGCCGAAGACGAAGCCAAAGCCAGTCGTTTCGAAAACGCTGTATGTCTATGGTCTCCCCTATACGTGCTCTCGCAAATCTAAAATAAAGTTCGCCCAGTATATTAGCTTGTGAAATAAATCTGATAAATTTCTAAATATCCCATCATGCACTGCGAATTCCCATTTTCGTTGACTTTTGTTGGATTCGCATTACATTTTCTGGAGTTATTGTCGAGAAAAATGTTCGGTGTTGCATTTTGACGAACTTGAAATTATTTACAGCTAGGTGCGGCTGATAGTGAAGCGCGTCCTCTTTTGATTTTTTTTATGTTAACTTCTTTTAGTAATCAAAAGTAATTTACGTATGCACGTACGTCATTGGTATACGGCAAATGATCGTCTACATGTAATATTCACTCGCACCCACCGCCCTGCAAGCAGGGCGCTGCTGGGAAGGCCGATGATTCACAGAATCTTGTGAAGGAAGTGCATTCTGGGTGACATTACATTGTAGGCAGCAGTTACTGTTAGCTATAGCGCGCAAATGCTTTCCGAAAACTTTCTCATAGAAATGCATACATTCCGTACCGGATGTGTTTTCTTTTTCATTGCCGACCAATTATGTGGACTAATTCGAGCGTCATATGAAATGCAAGTTGACCCTTCATCGTGAATTTGAATCATGATTATTACGCTTTTCAACGAAAAAAAAAACATTTATGAATGGGAATAAAAGAGTAGTGACTCGATCGGAAACCTTGCAGGGTCGTGGCCGTGATGACTTGCAGGTCAAAGGTCACGCAAAATCTATCCAATCAGAGCGTAAATTCATTAGCCCCTTCCTGTTTGCAGGGCGGGGGTACGATCGAACATGTAATTTATTGCCTGGTGACATACGCTCTTGCTTAGTTTCTGCCTCTCCTTCATTGCAACGGTCCGCAATTGAGAACAAGAAATCACACTATTATGTTCAAATTCTCCTACAAAAAATAAATAAATAAATAAATTTAAAACAAATGACTACAACATATAAGTTTCAGTTTTCTTTTTGTTTAATATTTTATTTCATCATTGAATTAATATCTTCCAAAAGAAGTCACGAATGATTCGTTTGTGTCATGCAAATAAAACAAATATCTTTAAAGTTCTAAAGAAACTTCAGCTTGCGAGTTTGGTTTGCACAATGGTTGGGATTAAAAAGTTGTTCGCTCTGTTTCATTCGGCACTAGATTTGGAATAAAAAACAAACAACTATTTTGCTTTGCTCAGAAAAGGTTTCTTTAGAGAAAGCATGCAAATATCATGTAGGCCTATCTTCGTTTTTTTATCTTTTTTTCACAAAATGCCATTGTGTGCAGTGGGTGTGGTTTAGGTTGAAATGACGTCACACTTACGAACCGCATTTTTGATGCAACGATGACCAAGTAAAGTTTGAATAGCGCTGCGGCTGCGCTTGTCTGTAGAGTGCAATAAATCACAATAATGGTTTACTTCACGGCCAATCATTTTGTTTTAGTGGGGTTCCAACGAAAATCAAAGTATCTCAGTGGATTACTGCGGTTTGTTAACGGCAACATAATTACGCACAACGATATGAAAAGCACCTCAACCCACTGAACACTTATTTCGGATCTTTGGTCTGAACATCTTCATATCCCAACATTAACGCCAATCACTGACAAAAATGATCATGATCATGTATTCAACAGAGCATTGTCTTCACTTTGGTAAGACTCTGAGAATTGGAACCTTGGCCTTTTCATTCAACTCCTCGTTCAAGTAGTACTGAAGCCAGCGATATTCCACGAATTCCCAGCGTCCTTCCTGGGCGAGTGCTTTGATGGCGGCTTCCATCCTGCTCTCTACCTGCTCGAATACCTTTTCAGTCAATGTGTACATTATGTGCCCACCTGGTTGAAAAACAAGCCCCCAAAACCCAGTCAATTAAATTAACCCTGAAACTAAATAAACTGTGTGTGGCGTCTACTGGCCCGTCGCCAATGGTATTTTGCCCCCCCCCCCCAACGGCAAAAGGGAACGTCTCTATTGTCCGAAGTCCCATTGGTCCGAAGTATTGGTCCGAAGTCCCATTGGTCCGAAGTCCCATTGGTCCGACATCCCATTGATCCGAAGTCCCATTGGTCCGAAGTCCCATTGGTCCGACGGCTCATTGCTCCATACGTTCCATTGGTATAAACGTCCCATTGGTCCGACGTCCCATTGGTCCGACGCCCCATAGGATTAGGGTTAGGGTTAGTCAACCTGAACAAGTGGAACTACACAGTATTATGTTTCGTCGGACCAATGGGACTTCGGACCAATGGGACTTCGGACCAGTGGGACTTTGGACCAATGGTACTTCGGACTATCGAGAAGTATAACCACGGCAAAAGCCATACATATTATGTATCATATATATGTATTTTGTATTTTTTTATGTATTGGACCCCCCTGGTCGATACTATATCCTCCCACCCCTTTGATGCTCAGTGCTGGCGACAGGCCTGGGCGTCTAGCTTGGAATACCAGCTGTATAATACACATGACATGAGAGATTCGCCATGCATAGAGCTGGGACGACTTTTGTATGACTTTGTTCACTCTCGATCTGCACTGGTTCCGTAAAGTGGACTGTATTTGGTAGATCTTTTTTTCTTCCGGGGGATTTGTTTGGGCACAATGATTGTGGCAAGAGCTAAAAATGTTGACATTAGAAAGTAAGCTCTCAACTGACTAATAATACTACATTTGTACCTGGTTTTGTAATACGAATGAGTTCTGGAAAACATGATTCGTCAACGTGGCCCGGAACACCGAAGGCGGCAGCCATCAACACGGCATCGTAATGATCTGGAAATCATAGACAGAAAGCTAACAGATATACTGATAATAACAATAACATGCATTCATATAATGCTTTTACAATTATTATCACCCCTGTAAGTATCACCCGTTCTCCACGGAGCCCATCTCCAGTAGAACATCTGACTATTAAGCATTCCGAAATCTTGTGTGGTTTATCCAATGGGCGCTGGTAATCAGTGGTGCGCGCACACGCACCTGATGCATGACCTGATGCGCTGAATACGCGGTTGTAATTTTCTTACGAAGATGACGTCCTTTGAGAGGGGTCTATTGATAAATGTTTTGATGGTACGCAATGAACGTCTCATAATATGTAACATTCAACATGAAATTCAAGAAAATCATCAGGCGTACTGTCTGGAATGTCCAGCCGATGCGCGTCCAGCGTGTCGCAAATATACTCCTTGTGGGACTGGTGTTCCTTGCACTTATCCAGGAGAGCCTTGGACGGATCTAAAGCGTCAATGCAGGTGAATCCCAGATTCTTCAGCTGTTGACAAGAAAACTAATACCAGCATCGCATTCTAAACTTCTCTTTAAGAGTGGGAAATTATGATGCACTCTACTCCAATCCATATACGTTTCAGGGGGGGGGAACTTGCCCCCCCCCCCCGATAATTTTTTTGACCACATTTTGTTTTGTCATGATTGAATAAATGTTTATAGAGTTCTTCTGACACAAGTCCCACAAAAAGCAAACCCGCTCAACAACCATTGCAATGCGCTGTGAAATGTCCATATTATGTAGTACATGACGCATAATAATGGTCGGTTTTGAAGAGCGCCCCCATTTGGAAGATGGGGAAAAATAAGTCAACATTTCTTCGCCGTTTCAAACCTTGCAGAGTCATGACCGTGATGACACACAGGTCACTGGTCACGCAAAAACCAACCAATCAGAGCGTGAATTCATCAGAGTATCCCAGCGTCCTGTTTGCAGGGCGGGGGTACTACGAGCGAAGGTCCAAGGGGCTCTCAAAAGTGTTAAAAAGCGCCCTCTTATTGGCGCACGGAGCCCATACGGGATATGAAACATGCATAGTAACAATGCGCCAAAAACAATGCGCAAAAAACACTGAAAGCTCACTGGTTTTTCAAAAATAAAAAATTCACTAACGATCATCAAGACCTCATCAGAGCCCAATTTCGTGATGTGTTCTCAGTGGTCTGATAGACACTGCTGCAATATTGTTGTGTAAATTTAAACGTGCATTATTTAGATGACCGTGCAGAGGTAAACATTTCACAATGGTGGTCCTACACCACTGTTTTTGTGACGGATGTGACATATTTTCCTCATGAGATACTTTCGTCCGACTTTCTTACCTCTCTTCCAACCAGTCCCGTTCCTGCGGCTGCATCAAGAATCCTTGCGGATTTATCGTGGATGATCTCAGATGCCATGGCAGCCATATGGACAGCACCTTGATAGCCTCCTTCTAAATTGACCTGCAATTACATTTACAACCACTGATAACATTCCTCGAACCCGAAGGCCGGAAGTTTAGGACTGACGGGGTACATTGTACGCAGTACGTCATTAAATATGGGTACCAAAGGTGACACTGTATTATCTACTTCTACTTCTATGCATCTACTGGTTTACAGCCTTTTCAGCAACTTTCAACGAGGACTTTGGTGTGCTGTCTCAAATGGTGGACACTAATTGTGCAAGGTGCTCTGATTCTTGTATATACAAGGTTGGTGCAAGTAAAAAAGTCAGCTCCTATTATGATCTAGGCACTGATGGCTCCCTTGAACTGCTCCACAGTGTGCAGCTCAATGATGTCTTGGGGGAGCGCATCCCAGTCCCGCAAAGTTCTTGGAAAGAAGCTTTGCCTGTAGTTGTCAGAACGGAAGCTGAGTTGCATGAATCTGTGTTGATGTTGTTGCTGTGTTGTACGGAGTCTTGGGATGCAAAATATTTTCTTTAACCTTTGCAGTTTAAATTTGCAGGACCATGGTTGATCACATAGTTTGATCATTATAAGGGAAACATCCTTAAATTTTAACTTACACGTGCCACTCCCCCATCAAATACCATGAGCCAATGGGCCCCTGCTGCTCCACTTCCAGCCTTCATGCAATTCACATTGCCAGACTTCTTTGTTCCAACACCTGCAGGCCGCGTCAGGATCTTTTCATCCCGTCTTCACCCATCATCCCCACCCCCTTAATTTCTCGGCTTCATCCTCTAATCAAAATTCATCCACTGTCACTCTACGGAGGAAGTCTGTTTCCTTCCTTCATGACATTCATTGACAATTTTCCCCTGTTTCGTCTGTATTTCCACATTCGTGCTTGTGTATCCAATGATTCCGTATCCCATGATTGTATAACAGGCGTATTTTGCCGTTGTATATAAAAAAAGGTCTAGCCATGGTCTGGCTAAAGATCGATTTTGTTGATAGTAGTTTTGCAAACCCGTGTGCAAAGGTCGCCTATAGGCCTCCGTACTTATTTCAGACCTAGCTACCTGCATGCATTCACATCGGTCTCACTGAGTCAGGCTCAGCGGGTGCTGTCTTACCTTGTCATATTTTTCTGCCCACGTGTTGTAAAAGCTGAGCGCAGTCTTACCGCCACCTTCTTCGGAAGACCCAAGGCTATATGCCTCCTTGCGATAACTGGTGAGAGCCTCCACAGGGTTATCGCCGTCCTTCGTTGTCGCCATGTTAACGCACGTTTGGACTTTGGTTCACTTCGTGACGTGGTTGAGCTTTAAAGCTTTTAATACGCACGAGCTATGTGATGTACTAAAACGTATCCGAAAAGTATTCACACGCACGTGCCGTGTGCAAAATTCAACTTGCTGTGGCCGTTTACGAATTAGGGCTACAGCGTAGGCTAGGGCGCTACAGGATCTTTGGGTTAGGGCTAGGTTTAGGTTTTGTGGCAGGCTGTACACGGTTTACGGAACGTTGTTGATTTTACACTGTTTTCAATGGGGCTTGATTCAGTACAGTGGACCCTGATTGTCTTTCTAATGGAGATAAATGGTCATCCCCAACATAGAGGTATAGTCCTTCATTAAGTGTGTGCATTTTGTTCGTTTAAAGCAACAAACCGTTGTTCAAAATCTGAAGAAGGGTGCGCGCTGAACATCTTACTAAACTGAGGAAGTTTTAGCTCAGCTTCAGCTGTATATTCTGAGACAAACAACAGTATGATCTCGATTTCAAATCAAAAGTTGCTGAATCATGTTAAATTGATGGAAGCCCCAAAACCAGGGAGTTAATTGATCCTTGGGTATATTCACACAATTCCAACATGTCCCCCCCCCGGAAAAGCAACAACAACAAAAAAGGAAGGAAGGAAGGGGAAAAAAGAGCGAAAAGAAAAGAAAAAGAGGATCGAAGACATAGTGGTGTAAATTTAATGGGTTGGGGGGGGGGCAAAATGTCCCTGCCCCTCTAAAACTGATAAATCGAGAATGTGTTGAGAAATACAGGCATTTTTTGGGCAAAATTTGTTTTGCCCCCTCTAGAAAAATATCCTGGCGACGCCCATGGGCATGACCATGAACTTAAAAGTGACAGCAGATGATGAGCGTCTGGCGTGCGGGGGCGCCACGTACGTTCAATAGAGGGGACAAGAACAATAATGCGCGGAGCACTCGACTCGTACATCGTGCACATGGTGCAAGTTGAATTTTGCTCATGTTGTTGTGTGAATGCTTTTCGGATACGTTTAGGTATAGATCGCTGCATGCCGCATAACGTTACAGATGGCGACAACGGAAAAGGACGGTGCTGATAACCCTGTGGAGGCTCTCACTAGTTATCGCAAGGAGGCATATAGCCATGGGTCTCCCGCAGAAGGGGGTGGTATTAAGCCTGTGCTCAACTTTTACAACACGTGGGCAGACAAATACGACAAGGTAGGATAGCACGCGAGACTGAGCCTGTCATGCATGTCGCCTAGCCTGTCGATGTCATGTATGCCCAAAAGTACGGAGGCCTATAGTCGATCTTTGCCCATGGGTTTGGACATAAAAAAAAATGCTGCAAGTGAGACTTGCACGATCCCCTGGCATGCTGGCATTTTATAAAGTAGGTTAGTACGGATACTGTCCCTATATAGGCCGTGGGCCAAAGCCTGTTACGTGCAGTGTCGTCTTAACTTTTTAGTGGCAACTTAATTTCTCGGTTATAAGTAGTTTGGAACAGTATGCAAATTGATATTTTATAATGTGCACATTATATCGTTTGCATAAATAAGAAATAAAGGGGACTGTTTCCCCAATGTTACTATACCGCATGAGGGCGATCGCGAGGCATCCCTGCCATTGCGTACCAGCCTCGCCTCCATGGGCGCGTGTACGTGCGTTCCTCCATCAACCCCTGGCCGTGGGAAATATGTAAACAGCGACGGTGGCTGGCTAAAAAAGAAAATACTGCACGCGTAAGTGGCGTAGACAGGAATTTTTCAGTGGGGGGGGGGGGGGGGGGGGGCTGGAACATTTCATGGGGGGGGGCGTTATGTAGATCAATGATAATTTTTTTAGAAACTCAAAATCTCAGTGGGGGGGGGGGGGGCGACTGGGGGGCGACAAGGCTTCATGCGCCCCCCACGCCCCCCCCCCCCCCCCCCCCCCCCCCCACTCCCGTGGCTACGCCACTGGCACGCATACTTCAGAGTCTGTGCGCCCCTTCATGTCAAGTAACGTAAGATTTGTTTTCAAGACTGCGCGATGCCTGTTCGATTTGGAGTTCCGGAAGCCCAGTTTTATGCTCTGAATGACATGTATTCTGGGTAAAGAAATGGAGAGAAAAAAATATTGTGTCACTTATTTACTTGAAACTGGATGACTTGTGATTTACTTGTGATTGATTTGTGTTGTAAAGGGACGACAGAGGTACGTAAATTTATTATAGATCCTTATAATGCCATGTCGAAATCTCATCATGCTCATGTTTGAAAGGATCGATTCTACAAAAAAAACCTTCAAGTTAAGCACCGTGTCACTGTGACACGTTAAATAATAACTTATATTATTCATGCCGACTTCCTATTTATCTATTGTGTCAGATTAGAAAGCATTTGAACTTAAAACAGAAGTTATGGCAAAATATATTTTTGCCCAAAAATGGGCAAAATAATGAGGAAAAAATGTCGTCATAATGTAATTTGGGCCAATGTGAACAACCCGATTCAGATTCAGCACTGTCGAGTTAGTAAAGTTGACCTTATTGCAAGCTGACACCAAAAAGTTAAGACAAACCTCGACTTCTGGACCTGATATAGATTTTGGCCCTTGGCCTTTAAACTAAAATGGAGAATTTGTATTGATTTAGCAATAGTGACCTTAAACTTTGACCTGTCGGCGCCAAAAGCAATAGGCACTATCAAGAACAACCCACAAACCAAATTTCAAGTTCCTAAGTGTATTGTAACGTCGCCGGACCGAATCCTGGGTTGTCACACGCCAGACGAAGGAAACCACAGACACTATTCTTCAGGGTTTCGGGGCTCTAGGCCATTTATTCTTGCCACTTTCTTTACACAAGGCTCTCTCTTTATAACTCACAAAGCAACAAAAAGAACGTTATACAAAATGTCACACTAATGAGTCGGCGCATTCCGGCAACGGGTTTCCCTGGTCCAGCAGCAGAGGTCCCAATGCTACGGTTGCACCATGGGTCCGTGCTGGCGCCCTCTGCTGGCGGCCCGGCACCGAAGTTACCCATCCCCCTCCGAGGACCCTTGTCCGTCCCCGAACAAGGCGGCGCCTCCGATGGGGTATCCGCTGGGGTCTCCTGGTCTCCTCTGTGGTCTCCTCCGGGGTCTACTCTGGGGTCTCCTCTGGGTTCTCCTCTGGGGTCTCCGCTGGGATCACCTCCGGGGTCTACTCTGGTGTCTCCTCTGGGTTCTCCATTGGGGTCCCCGCTGGGATCACCTCTGGGATCACTTCTGGGTTCTCCTCTGGGGCCACCCCCGGGGTCTCCTCTCCATTGACTCCTGTGCGGAGCAACTCCAGCGGCTCCGCTGATTGAGTCCCGTGCAGAGCAAACCATCCCTAACCCTTTGACCCCCATCTGTTTTGATGACTATTGGCTCGGATTACATGACCTCGCTTTGGTCAGTTAATACAACAAAAGTAGCGGGTCTATTTCGATCTTTAGATGGACCTTTCAGAACCTTTCTTATATGATACATGCACATAGTGTTTCAGATCATGGGACACAGAAACAGAAGGTGGAAAGGAAAACACAATGAAACAGCCGGGGATCGAGGGCCAAACTTTATCGATAGCATGGAGGATGGAACACGGACTTCCTTCGTGATTGTAGCAGTCACTGGTGAACTCCGATGAGGGGATGACGCCGAGAAAATAAGGAGGCGGGGATGGTGAGTGAAGATCAGGGGATGGAAAGGTATCCTGATGCGGGTGAAGGAACAGAGAAGTCTGGCAATGTGAACTGATGGACGGTCAGGAAGGAGGTGGGGTATCATCGGCCGGTACTTGATGGGAGAGGGGGCACGTACCTCATGCCACACTCCGTTTATATGTCTACTTCAGAACTGGAACATATCAGTTTATTATTAACAATAAGGCTAACTTGAGAAAATGTCTTCCTGGTCGTTCATGACTGACTGTCATTTCATTGGGCTTACAATTCTTCTTCCCAGTCCCACAAAGAGGGGATCATTTATCGTCTAGCTATACAAACCTGTAGATTGGTACTCGTAGTATTATTGCTCCGAGGTCATCTTGCCTTGGCTCTCAACAATCATGACATGGCTGCTGGGTTGTATAGTCTGTATGAGTGCACGCCTGTAAAATAGGCCTAAAACACCCGCCGAGCCCATGAATAAAAGTTATACCCAATATTACAGAGTTCTGAGAGCCATAAAATTGGGGAATCGAAGAGATATGGCAATGAACCTCTGGCCCGGACTTGGAGCTTCCAATTCTGATCATTTGGGATGCAATTGGGCCCAATAGTGGCGCTATATTTTTGCATTGTTCTGGAGGGATCATTTTTCAAGATGGCTACTTTTTTGCTTTGGGAAAATAGGGGACATCTTCTTTGGATGAGAATTTCTCGAAAGGTTAATAATGGTCAACCCACCAAAAAATGAGAAAAAAATTGAAAGATGACATGTTGATCATCATAATTTTAAGCAGCCAAAATAATGTACCTGTACTGTCAGAAATCTGAGTATTTTTGAAAGAATTGTGAAGTATGGGAAGTTTTATCTTGCAGCCTTCGGATTCGGGGGAATGTTATTTGTGGTTGATATTGCAGGTATGTTTAGAAGGAGGCTATCAATGTGATGTCCATATGGCTGCCATGGCATCTGAGATCATCCATGATAAATCTGCAAGGATTCTGGATGCAGCCGCAGGAACTGGACTGGTTGGAAAAGAGGTAAGAAAGTCAAATGAAACTGCATCTCATGGGGAAAAGATGGCACATCCATTACTAAAAAGTGGTGTTCAATTGAATGATGTACAGGACCGCACCATTGTAAAATGATTACCGCTGCATGGTCATAAAAACAATGGTGTTAAAATTTACACTGCAATATTATTGAAGCAGTATCTATCAGACCACATGACAGCACATTACAAAATGGGGCTGTGATGGGGCCTCCTTTTAAATTTTATTTTCTGTGTTATGAAGAGAAACGGAATGCGATGCTGGTATTAGTCTTCTTGTCAACAGCTGAAGAAGCTGGGATTCACCTGCATTGACGCTTTAGATCCCTCCAAGGATATCCTGGATAAGTGCAAGGAACACCAGTCCCACATGGAGTACATTTGCGACACGCTGGACGAGCATCGGCTGGACATTCCAGACAGTAAGCCTGATGATTTCTTGGATTTTATTTTGAATGCTACATGTCGAGACGTTCATTGCGTACCCTGATCAAAACATTGCGTACCATCATCATAGACGCCCCTCAAAGGACGTCATCTTCATAGGAAAATTACAACCGCGTATTCAGCGCATCAGGTGCGTGTGCGCGCAGTGTGCAAAAATGTTCCAAACATGGACAGGATGTGGATGGACCAGTCTAGGTCTCCCCCAACTCTCCTTTTCTGGTTCATAAAAGGCATTGAAAGTTTGAAGTATGTCTGTTAGCTTTCTGTGAAGTTCGGTCTCTTTATTTCCAGATCATTACGATGCCGTGTTGATGGCTGGCGCCTTCGGTCTTCCGGGCCACGTTGACGAATCATGTTTTCCGGAACTCATTCGTATTACAAAGCCAGGTAATATATAATATTGTTTCTTTATAATGTCAACATTTATTTTTAGCTCTTGCAACAATCATTGTGCCCAAACATAACCCCCACAAAAATTCTACCAAATACACCACTTTACGGAACCAGTGCAAAAGATCGAGAATTAACGAAGTCATACAATTCGTCCCAGCTCTACTTGGCGAATCTCCAGGAGCATTATAGCTGTTATTTAAGCTAGATGCAATACACATTTTATCTAGTTTCAGTGTTAATTTTATTGACTGGGTTTTTGGGGCTTGTTTTTCAACCAGGTGGGCACATAATGTACACATTGACTGAAAAGGTATTCGAGCAGGTAGAGAGCAGGATGGAAGCGGCCATCAAAGCACTCGCCCAGGAAGGACGGTGGGAATTCGTGGAATATCGCTGGCTGCAGTACTTCTTGAACGAGGAGTTGAATGAAAAGGCCAAAGTTCCAATTCTCAGAGTCTTACCAAAGTAAAAACAATGCTCTGTTGACTACTTGATCATGATCATTTTGTCAGTGATAGGCGTTGATGGTGAGATATGAAGATGCTCAGACCAAAGACCTGAAATAAGTGTTCAGTGGGTTGAGATGCTTTTCATGTCGTTGTGCGTAATTATTTTGCAATTAATACAAGATAATCCACCGGGATTGGGACACAACTAAAAAATGATTGGGCCTTGATTGAAACCATCATCATGATTAAGTGCACTCTGCAGACAAGCGCAGCTGCGGTGTTATTCACGCTTTATTTGGTAATCATGTATTCAAAATCCGGTTCTTAAGTGTGACGTCATTTCAACTGAAACCACGCCCACTGCTCACAGAGAATAGCAAAGTGGCGTGTTTGGCCAATGGGGGTTATACATGTAGGCCTAATCATATGACGCAGTCACTTACGAACCGGATACCTCATAAGGCTGTTACGATCCGAAAATCTCCAAACGATCCGCGGATGGAAATTACTTAAAAAGCCTGAATTTGTCTCAGATGCAACAAAGAAATCAAACAAGATTATAATAAAGACAAAGAAACAATGTGATTGTCCAGGTTGTTATTTTTTTTAACGTATACAGATTACTACAGGGCACTCGTCACCCTTTTGTGCGTGGTGTGTGCAAAGTGGCGAACCGTACAATTACGCATGGTAATGTAATCATTACGTTTTTTACGAAATGCTGCAAACATGTTACGAATAATTACAAGGCGTTGCACAATATACAGGGTGGATCAAAAAAATGAAACCGAGACATTATTGCTACTTGGAACAGAAGTAGGGCACATGTGAATCAAAGGGAGATATCCTCTGTTAGGGTCGAATCTCCTCTTTAAATGACACCCTGATCCAGTGGCGTAGCCAGGAATTTTTCAGTGGGGGGGGGGGGGGGGGCGCTGGGGGGGCTGGAACATTTCATGGGGGGGGCGTCAAGCAGGGGCGTCAATCGCTTCTCAAAAGTGGGGGGGGGGGGGACATACCTTGATCATAACTGATGCAAGCGCGAAGCCCTTACGGCGTGGGGTTCGAAGCCCGCTTAAGGGCCCCGAAAAAATTGGATTCTAGATGTTCTGTGGTGTGATTTGAAGCAATTTCTTACGACTTTCCTTCATGCTTTAACTAATATTTTCTTGGCAAAAGATAATTATTTGAACATTGTTTTTGAGGTTGGAGACATTGAATCAGCTGTCGGTATTCTGAGCTATTGGCGTGGGGTTCGGGGCCCGCTTAAGGGCCCCGAAAAAAAATTGGATTTTCGATGCTCTGTGGTGTGATCTGAGGCAATTTCTTACCACTTTAACCAATAATTATCTTAGCACAAAAGATAATAATTTAAACATAATTTTCGAGGTTTTCTCAGCTAAAGGCATAAGAACATTTGGTGAACATTGTTTTCGAGGTTGGAGTCATTGAATCAGCTACCAGAATTCTGAGCTATAGGCGTGGGGTTCGGGGCCCGCTTAAGGGCCCCGAAAAATTTTGGATTCTAAATGCTCTGTGGTGCTATATCTGAGGCAATTTCTGACCACTTTAACCAATATTTTCTAAGCAAAAGATACGTTGTAGTACATAAAAGGCCCATGGCGTCATGTCGATCAATGATAATTTTTTTAGAAACTCAAAATCTCAGTGGGGGGGGGGGGGGGGGGGGCGACTGGGGGGGGGGGGGGGCGACAAGGTTTTATGGGGGGGGGCGGTCGCCCCCCACGCCCCCCGGTGGCTACGCCACTGCCCTGATCATGTCCTTACATTCACGGTTGACTGAGCAGTGACCAAGTTTATGAAAGGGTCTATTGAGAGAATTGCGCCACTTTTCATAGTGAAATCTCTGGTTTTTTTCCCCACCTGCCTTGATTGGCAACCATAGTTTCACTCTGTGACAATTAACACAACAAAAACCACAATTGAAAAGTGGCGCAAGTCTCTAAATAGACCCTTCCATAAAATCAGAAATATTCACATTGATTCACATGTGCCCTACTTCTGTTCCAATTAGCAATAATATCTCGGTTTCGTTTTTTGTTATCCACCCTGTATAAACTGATCATAACCCGTTTCCCGTTGCGGTGATTATTTTTTATTTCTACTCCCCAGGATGCTGTGAAAATCATCTTTACGTTCGTATCAATGGTGTTATACTGTAAACACTCGTGTACAAAATTATAAAATTATATTAAAACTACTAACTTAAGCAATAGTGCATATAACTGTTGATTTACTGATTAATACACGGACTGCATTAAAGTGTGGATGTTAAATAGCTGGGAGATATACGACGTGTCGTTATAAAAAATATCACGACACGTAATGAATATTTCTGATCATGACACAATCCTTCTTTTTTTTCATTTCAAATTATGCAAAGGCGCTTGAACTAATCCAACGTGTAATTAATCTTTTTTAAACAAATTTCCATCACACTGGAAGAACTGCATTTTTCTTATGCATATGCCCTTATGCGATAGCGCGTAATGACCAAAATGTTCCCAGCAAAAGGGCATATGCAGAAAACTGCCTCTATTTTAATGTAAACATTTTCGTCATAATGCGCGCGGGGTAGCATTGGAACCTTTCAATGCAATTTTCTTGAAAATGATTTTTGCGTCAGAACGCTCATATGCCCTTCTGCCGGGCACCCGACGATAGATCAATATCCACTACTAAAACACCCGTTATTGAACATAAAAGCCAGATTCCATCGTCACTAATCAGGTCGACATGCCTGATGGGGGAAACTCATTGGTCAAAGTCTCAGAAATGTGGACGGGTATCCAACTTGGTCACTCAGCTGGATCTATACCTAACTCCCCAAATACTACAAAGGAGAACATTTCACATTCAGGGACATAAACAAGAAGCAACCGGTTGCTCTCCCTCCCGTACAGGGGACTTTTGGATCTCCATATATCGCGATATCGGAGAACATTAAGCCCATACAGCGCACACCTTTCCGATTTTGCCGGCCGATACCATCGGCCGGTTCGCCTTCGTATTGAGTGTCCACTGAAAAGTCGGACCGAGCTGACCGTACGTACACCGGGCAACTGGAAGAAAGCAAAACTTATTTGATATTTCGCATCCGATTTTCACCGAATCCGATTCAATGAGAATGATTCAAAATTGACGGCCGCCATTTTGTCATCATGTGACCATTAGGCCTATATACATGTACAACGCAATTGGGCTGATGTGTATAGGTAAGCGTTTTGGGGGGACGGGGAAACTACCAGTATGGGTTGATCCTGTGAACAGGTAAAATCGGAAAGGTGCACGATGTGCGCCGCGGTAGTGATGGCGTGCGCCGTTAGTAATACAAAATCAAAAATGCTTCAAACCAACAGCTGGCACCCTCATACAATATGCTTGCGTCGGGTCCTACTATATACATTGTAAAAACTGACTGCACCTCATGCACCTGTGGGTCCTGTGCACTAGCACATTTTTGTCCCGAAATCATGAACACTTCAGGCTCTTGACAGGAAACTGAGGCAGTTGAGGTTATTACAACAACACAAAAGTGAAGCTCAAGTGCATGAGGTGTTAGGAAGTTGCCAGTTATGTATCGCACGGTGTACTTGATGAAGCACAGGGGGCGACAGTCCGCTTAAACTCGGGTGTGTGTTTTTATACCCAACGTTGACACTTCACGTGCATCAACCGCTCGTTCGATTCACGTGCATGACGTGGAGTCACTTAAGACATAGTGTACAATACGTCAACAAGCGACAACTGGCGTCAACCCGGCCAGCGTCAACATAATTTATTTTGTATGAAGAACATCTACATCATAAAAATTATGCAGCTGTGTGCGTTGTGAATTTAGGACTATCCGGTATGTTAGTAAAACGTCACGCGCGCGCACCACATTGGATAACCACTCAAGCTGCGTTAGCTATATAGCTTCCGTTTCCAGTTTGGTTCCAAACTTCCAATGCTATGCTATGGCAGGTGGGCGTGGTTTAAACTGAACTGACGTCACCCAAACGAACCGGATGAAAAGCTGACTCACTGGCAGTATTGCGCATGCCTACGTGAGGGTTGTGAACGTTCTACCAATAAGACAGTAAAAGGCACTGGATTTCATAGGAGTCCAAATTTCATGTGACACTGAAAAAGTGTTTAGGACCAGCCATCCATTTCTTTATCATCCGTTTAAGACCGGCCACGTGACGGCCTCTCGACCAATGGGAATGGGTGAACTGTCTGCGGTATTTATGAATAGGCCTACTTGTTATAGTCCGGTAATATAAATCGGGCCCGAAATCCATAAAGTTGGTGGCCGGAAAATTGCCAAAAGATCGGGGATGGAATATTGCCTCACATCGTCAATTGAACCTTTAAGGATTTCTGATAGTTGACGAATTATGAATAATGTCAAAATTAGCAGTACCCATTTACTTTTATGACCGTGCTAAAAATATCTACTGAAACTGACTTTTCCACCTCGACATGGCCCGCTGACAATGCAATGTATTTCTATCAGAGCAACTTTTATCAAAGTGTACAAAATTAAAACGACTTTTTTTCACAAAAGTAATGAATGAAATAATTACAGACAGAGTCATACAAGTGTGTTTATTCCACTTCCGCAATGTTTATTGTCCTGAACAACCTTTTAATTGTGACAGAAAATTAAATTAGGCCAACAATTACAGCTACTGGACGTCGAGATGTGTGCAGCCATTTTTAAAAGTGTGTGGGTTAGGCAGGAGCCAGGAGATAAAAAAAAATATATTACATAATTCTGTATGCGCGGTTATTTTATGAACCAGGTGCAAAAATTCAAGTTACACATAGTAGTTTCGCAAATACTTTCCCATTTAAACTGGTTGTGAGGCTTGTGTTCCTTGGCAAGATACTCTACCATACTTGCTTCCACTTAGCAAGGTGGGTACAAGGAAACATGCAGTATATTATTGTGTATACTGACCCTCTAGCGCAAAACCAGTCACCATGAGGACCAATTTATGAAGAATGGGATTTTGGGCTCATTATAGAATTGGACAACATTTGACAGAGTTTAATGTTCTCAATACGTGATATAATAATAATTTGGTGCTCGTATAGCGCTTTAAGTTACAGCAAAATTCTCAAAGCGCTTCACAATTGTTACCTCTGTTCATCAGACAATACCGCCTTACGACTGGTTTTTGTGCTGGAGGGTCACATTACACGACAGTTAATTCTGTCATGCAACAACCCTATAACTTGTGATTTGCCAGAAAGAATAAGCCCATTCAGCAGGGGAGGAATTGCATGTAAAGTACTACACGATGCACAAAATCGATGTATTTTAAATTATTTCATTTATAGCACACAGAAGGACTTATGAATAAAACATTTCGTATTTCTACTTTAGGTATGGGAGAATCAAAACTAGAATCCATAACAAAAACAATCTGAATGTTTTCATACAAACATAATAGCTTGAGTAACTCCAGCTGACATGCTCACATTCATACATGTGAATGAATGTGAGCATGTCAGCTGGAGTTACTCAAGCTACAAACATAATATCCTTAAAAACCTGAAGAAGTGACAT